CAATCAAAGGCGTTATTCGGGACTTGACTAAAATTACCTTAATTTAATTGTACGAGTGAAGAATTTGAGGAACAATCAAAAGTCGTTTAGTGTGCCATACTACACTTAGTGATACACGTATCGCAAACTTAATCGGTTTTATTCCAAAATTATTAATAGCAACGTTATCAGATAGTGCGCCTTTGTTGCTAACTCGCAAACTAAGGCAAAAAATCTCTTGTGTGTGTTCAGGTCGATTCGAGAATGGTTTAGATTCACAATTATTTTAATTCTTTTTTAAGTTATCCGATTTAAGTCGTGTGTACAGGACAACGTCGGCCCGACCCGCTAGTTATTTATAATTTTCAAAGGCCATACAAAAGGCATTACAAATATTTTCCCATCATACTAAAATAATCATTCTCGTATATTATATATGCGATTTTCTGTGATGTATGTAAGTACTGTATATTTATCTTTTATAATAAAAAAAATTTCTTATGTCAAATACACAAATGACATCTCTTATAAACAGCTTAGTACCAACGCAAACAATTCAACGACACGCTTGACGCTCTGCCTATCTTTTTAAAAATAGAACGTTTGTATAGATATATACAAATTATTGAGCGAATGGAGAGGCGGTTATTAGGGTTCCGTACCCAAAGGGTATAACGGGACCCTATTACTAAGACTCCGCCTGTTACCAGGCTGTACCGCATGAACCGTGATAGTTAGACAATTGAAATTTTAACAGATGATGTATTTCTGTTGACACTATAACAACAAATACTAAAAAACCGAGTAAAAAAATATTTAAGTCTGGCTCCCATACAATAGACATGGATTTTTTGCTGTTTTTATAGATACGTACGGAACCTTTCGAACGCGAGCCCCACTCGCACTTGGCCGGTTTTTTTGTGTGAACGAAACCCTATTCGCGAGCTGCTAATAACGCGTGGGCAATTCATGGGAGGAGGACATTAAATGCGCTGTGACGCCACCCCGTTTTCTATTTTTATCGGGCTCCCTACGAATGAGAAAAATGAATATTATTTTTTGAAACGGATGTTATTATATAACGGCTACAGATAAATTAAAAGACAAAACTGAAGTGCACATATATTTTCTGATATTAACCTCTAACTTGAATATCTCAAAAAAATGTGAAAATCCCATGGAGAAATATTTCACGAAGGATTATTCACGATATATCGAAGTGGTGGACTACGCCCTGAAACCCTCTGTACAGGGGAGGCCTTTGCCCAGCAGTCGGACATCTACATGCTAACGTAACTTTTGTTTTACGTTAGGCTTCAAATATCTCGCCTGTGTTCATTTTATAATTGATTTTCAGGAGGAAGGATGAAGTATTTCCGGAGCTCAAGATCCAATAACCGATTAAAATTAATATGGGAAGCACCAGCTCACCAATAAAAAGAGAATCACCAAAAACGCTTCCCTCAGTCGATAGTTCTGAGGTAACAAACATAAAAAAACACAGTCGAATTGAAAACCTCCTTTTTTGAAGTCAGTTAAAAATGTGACGCAATATGGGGGCTTTCACCCCTGTGAAAAACACCAGTGCATATTTTCTTATTATTACGTCGGTAAGATCGAAAAATATAATGTATATTTCATTACTCAGTTATTTGTATCTAAATGTAACTTCCAAAATACATGCCAAAAAGAACCACCAAAAAAAATACAATTTACCAAAAAGAAAACAAACCGAACAAAGCTTGGTCCTCCAGGTACTATATCTTTACCTTTCTTCCTCTTCAGGAGACTGTCATTTTTATAACATAGTTTTTATTTGTTTTTTAATATTAAAATGTAGTACAATAAATAATTAGTTTTTGTATTTACATTGCTTATTATTTTTATTTATTTTATGCGAAAATTTGTCAAACGAGCAGACGGTTCTCCTGATGTTAAGTGAATACCGCCGCCCATGGACATCTGCCACACCCGAGGGTTACGGATGCGTTGACAACCTTTTGAAAATTGGGCTCCGGCTACCTCACTCACCAGACGAAACGCGAAAGTATTTGTCATACTGCCACTTTACGCTGGTCTTCTGTGAGGTCGTGGTACTTACCCGGACGGGCCTGCCCATTCGTGCAACAGCCGAGGCTGCAGCGTGGCCCTACCGCCGTTAATGACAACCCTAGCTGAAATAACTCATAATTGATTTCATATATAAAACAAAGTAATAATTTTTGTTATAAACTATCATTTATTAATGTTCCACGTAAATTGACATTAAATAGTGGCGAGATTTTGTTTTGGAAATCTTTTAAAAATAAAAATAGATTTCAAATACACTCGTATTAGCAAATAGATAAAGAAAGGACACTTGTCTTTATTAGGTACATAGTGTAAAACAAAATCGCTCCCGTTGTTTGTACGCTAAGATCTTTTAAAATACGAAGCGGATTTTAATGCAGTCTTCAGCAATAGGTAGAGAGATTCAAGAGGAAGGTTTATATGCGCATTGCACCCGTGCAAAGGCGGGGCGTGTCGCTAGCTATACATAAATATATGTAGGTATTTTTTCATTGGAAAAAGCGGCAAACAAGAAGGAGGCTCACCTGATAGGTAAGTGATCACCATCACCGCCGCCCATGGACACCTGCAATATCAGAGGGCTTACAAATGCGTTGCCGGCCTTTTAGGAAAGAGTGTGCTCTCTTCTTGAAGGTTCCCAGGTTCTTCAATTCTCGTCTGCACATCACTATGTTTATTTCGACACCGACGTGCTGTGGTAAAATTATTGTCGGGGCCCCGTTCCGCCCCTATTCTGGTTTCGGGGGTGTGGGCCATCCGTATCGACCCCCGACACCCCCGAACAATTATCTCCCGCTTCCCCCGGGTCAATGTCATTGAAAGCTGATTTACGTCATTTAGAAACGCCGAAAACGCCATTAGAATGCGAGAAGCCTGTAGATTTCGACAGCAGTTGGTAAATATCAGATCTCTTTTTGTTTTGTGTACGATGTTTTTGTGATGTACTGTAATTTTAATACGAACTCGATACTGGCAATCTACCTGTTAGCATACACAAATGGGTTAGTAATATTTTACTAGGCAAAACTGATCTAAAGTATTTCTATTGGTTTACGGTGGCGACACCTTAAGAATTTAAAAGTCTGTTCGGTTGTCGGCTGCGGGAAATTGACGTTTTGAAGTGATAGACGTAACACCGTTGTCTTGAGTTGCTTCGAGCTAGTGAATTGAGTTAATTATAATAGGAGTGATTATAATAATTTAAGTGTAAATTCGGGGTGAATCCTTCCACGCAACCATCTTTTTAATAATTTATACCAGTTCATTGCAGAACCAACAATATCAATGAAATCAGAAATCACCCGGTCCGGTTTAAATACATTTTCTTTTCCAAGTTTCGAACAAAACAAATTTAGCACAAAATCAACTAAGTTACTTAGGGAACTCCTGAAATCAATTATAAAATGAATACAGAGCAAGATATTTGAACTGGCTTTTGTTTTTCGTTAGTAAAAAATGGACTTGTTACATTACTAAATGATCACAGTAGTTCACACTACTTTACTTATCTCGGTTCAGATAGCTGTTAACTTGCTAACCTTAATTTTTTATCCGATAACCTTCCCGCTCTATATTATGGGAAAAATATGGACATCTGCGAACCCTTTTTTGACACAATTTCGGTAAGTTTTTTTATCCATTTGCTATACTTATCAACAAATATTTAATAATTTATTTGCTTCCAAGTTTTTGTATCCCCAGTCGAGTATCTTAGAAATGCGTAATATTATCAGTATCACGACCCACGCCACGATCTCTGATCACAAACTATTACAATAATCTAACTTTTTTTTTATGCGATAAGTTGTCAAACGAGCAGACGGTTCACCTGATGTTAAGTGAATACCGCCGCCCATGGACATCTGCCACACCCGAGGGTTACGGATGCGTTGACAACCTTTTGAAAATTGGGCTCCGGCTACCTCACTCACCAGACGAAACGCGAAAGTATTTGTCATACTTCCACTTTTACGCTGGTCTTCTGTGAGGTCGTGGTATTTACCCGGATGAGCCTGCCCATTCGTGCAACGGCCGAGGCTACTGCGTGGCCCTTACACCGTAACTGCATCATTCATTTATTTTGTTAGCTCACGACTGAACCTGACTCATTTCAATGTAAAATTTTACAAGTGATGCGCAAGTACTAGTCAATTTGCAGTTTAATGAAACTAGTAATTAACGCCCTGGTGAAAACAGAGTTCGTTTTAAAAATGCTTTTTAGAAAGAAAAAAAAACATGTATACTTATTTATGTCAATTCAGTAAACACACACGACCTATCAGCCAGCGAAATAGCAATATCGCGGTGCCACGTTGTACCATTTTCGCAGCGCACGCCGCAATATAGTTTTACGTGTCGATTAAAAATACCCGGCTTTTATTGCGTAACTCAATCAAGCGAATACATTGCTGGTGGAGAGCGCGGGAATTTGACAACTGTCTAATTATACAATACATTTTGGCGCGTTGACAAACCGCCCTCCCCGAAATGCACAAATAGCCTAGCGGAAGAAATGGGCCGGAGTCGCTACACGCTATGCCACTGGCGGCTCCTACTGGTCACGGGTTTTGGACAAAGTATGTTCAATTTTTGGAGTATTATAAAAATCTAGTACCTTCAACCTTTCTTAAATGGTAAAATAAGTAATTGACTAAACATTCGGTTAGCCTGTGTTTTGTTTGAGTAGCTTTCCTTTTTATTGACAGCTAGTTTCGTAACAAAAATATCTCCATACTTTGGCGTCGACGCCACGGCGGAATAAAGACGCGGCGTAATAAATTGCGGCAACAAAAAAAAACGTTACTCGGCGGTCCGACGAGTGGCCGGATACAATGGCCGCCGCTTGCGTGTGTTGTTTAATTGTTCACGCGTTACATTCTGTACTTGCAACGCGTGTGCACCAGCGCTCTTACGCATCGGAGGCTTCGCCGTGACGTCACCCGCCAGCCGCCATGTCGTTGTGTCGTCTGCGCGCGCGCACCCGCACCACCCTCCCGCACGCCCCGCTGTCTGACGGGCGACTGACCGGTGACCTTGTTGCTCCGTCTCTCTCTAGCACCTGCGTTCTTTTAAGTTCGAGATGCGGAGCACACCCGGCGTAGCGTGTGGATATGAGTTGTTTGTGCACGAAATCTTCTGCTTCTTATTTACACAAACGTTCTCTTTTTTAATTTTCGAAAAATTCGCATCGCCCGTAAAGGGTACGCGGCGAGGCATTATGTTGTGGCCCGGGGTAACGACCTTGATCGGCCGGTTAGCAACGCGATAGCCACTTAATTGTTATATCAAAACAAAACGACTCGCCTTGAAAAAAGAATCCGAATAGACTGCGGCTGTTATTACTCAACTCGCGTGGAGGTTTTTAAGATTTCTATGTTGATTAAAAAGAGCAGAAATGGATTTCATTGTATTTTAGAGTTTAGACTCAAGCCATTACGCTTTAAGTGCCTAGATAAAATAAGACTAAGACATAAGAATAAAACATAAAGTCACAGGAAGCAAAGAACTCTTTTATTTAGCGCATTTTAAATGCTACATTTGCATGCTAACATTATTTACCAATGGTATTAATATTTTTTAACTATTTTTTTTACATTTTTATTTTTATCAAATTGTCGTTTTAAAACGTCAACGAGTAAATGGTTTCATTATACAAAAATGTATTCTGATTAAAAATATTCAGCATGGAGCGGGATAATTTCCAAATTACCAGGGCGGCAGCGGCCGACGGAGATGCGGCGCGCGCTAGATAGTAGACGCTATGGTACCCCGTGGGTTCGTTGGCCGGGGGCGGCGCTCACTCGTCAGCTGGCGGGACGTCGACCTCGCGTTTGGTCCCGGTCGGGCCCCGTTCGCCCCTCGCAGGCTTCCACGTGCTTCGTCGATCGCAGCTGCCGCTTTGAGAAAAACAAACGAATGTGACTGAACAAACGCTCGCTTGGCGTTCGAATATTTCTAGAAACTTCCAGAAGAAAATAACTGTCTGATCATTTGTGTTTTATTGTCCGTCCGTTATTGTTTTTTTTTTTATTCATTCTTCGAACGGCGGAAGTAGCTAAAATTGTGGGTGTTGAGAGGAATAGATTTGAGTGTTCGCTTATGCATAAAATCTGTTTCCTGTGTTCGTGGAGTGATGGAAATGTTGACTCCGGACTATAATTGAGACGATAGCATGAAATTATGATGAAGCAATACCAGCTCAGATTGACCATCGTCATAATGTCGCCATCGCTCTTTTCGCTTACCTCTTTTTTGGGGAGTAGACAGTGTAATAAATTCTATAACAAAGTCAATAAACTCTCCTTAAAATGCTTTTAATTATATGATAGAGTTCTAAAGTAAGAAACAAAAATATTTACAACCGAATTACGAAACTCCTTCCTCTTTGTAATCGGTTGAAAAAAAGGAATTGTAGTCAAGCACTGACTGGCCGTAATGAAAAGAAAGTTGAATACGATAGATTCCTTACTCCATTACTTTATTAAGGTGTATGTGCTGTCATAATGACGAATGCACCGGGCATGCACGAATTTGAGACCTTTTTTATACGCGTTTATTAGTTTTGGTTTCTTTAAAACGTTTTTCAACCAAGAAGTTCCAACATAAAGTTGGTGAATAATTATATAATTATTTATTTAATTAATAATATTTAGTTGCATCACATTCTGCCTTCCTTGAGATTTTTGGAATACAATAAAGTTTTTAGCGAGCCCTAAGGTCTATATAAAGCTCCCACGGCTTTCTGTGAGCCTGGTATCGGGCTTAATGATAATAAAATTAAATAAAAAGCTCGAAAAACTAAAGCTGCCATCCTCTATGTCCGATAAAATTTCACAGAGTTATTCCTAACACTGGGACCAAAAAAATCACCAATAAGAAGGTGCATTTGTATTTTTTACTTATCATCGAAAGATAAAATTTCTTGGCAATACAAAGCTTCCGCTAAAGTGCGACACGGTCAGAATTCTGAATCCAATGTGAAAGTGTCGTTTTCTTCCATGTACGGAATGAATGAACAATATGGATATTTAAATTTGAATATGATGAATGTATATCAATTCCTAATCCAAACTAAAACCATCGGCTTGCCTTGCATGTTCAGAGCGCATGTTTTCTAAAGTTTATTCTCGTAAATCATATTAATTTATTAGACTGTAGCAAAAGTATATAATAATTAAGGAATGGAAAGAAGAACACCTCTAAATCGCTGATATTATAAATGTAATTAGGTTGGTTATGTCCCAGAAATATTATCAAGGAAAATCGTAAAGGAGTCTATTGCTCGTCGGCTCCGCGTAAAAGCCCTTAAGTAATTCAGATTCAGTATAAAAATAATCCTATATATATCCTTTTTTAAACCCCTAAAAATATGTGTGCAATGTTTCATGATAATCGGTTGAGTTGTTTTGGCGTGAAAGCGTAACAAACTTACATTCACATTTATAATATTGATAACTAGCCGCTGCCCGTGATTACGTCTGTGTAGAATAGGCTGTAGGTAGTACTACTAGTAGGTATGTAGTAACATTCAGACAGAAACACAGATATACATAAAATATGTATAAAAAATATAGCCCATGTCTTATTCTGATGTATAAGCTATATTATTGTAAAGTTTCATTAAAATCTATTCAGTAGTATTTGCATGAAACTGTAACAAACATCCATCCATACATACAAACTTTCGCCTTTATAATATAAGTAAGGAAGTAGGGATTATTAAAGTAACCTTTGTAAGTCTAGATTGCTAATTTGTAAACACCTGGCTAAACATCGTAGGAATTAATAATGCTTCATAAGCTTAAATATTCCTTTAATACTGTCGATCTTTGCCACAAAAATATGAATAATGTGAAAAATAAAGTGCACAATTATAAAGTCGTTCACCTCCTTTATTTCATTTTAATCAAGAATAACTAAGTGCCATAATTGTCCGCAACACGATCCGTTTAATCGTTTCAATTTCGTGTATTTAAATGCTGACTTATCCCCGACGAAGGGTAACGAAGGATAATTAGCGATGCATGCATTTATTTTTATCCACAGAACAAAAAGCGGAGTGCGAACGACCCCGAATGTCATATTCATAAATTATCTGCATTAAAGAAAACGTTCGTATGTATTACAACAGTATGGAGCGAATTTTTTATGTTGCCAGCAATTAAATGTTTTTTTTTTGTATTCAAGAAAATATGGAGTGATATTCAAAAGTATTTTTTAATATCCATTGTTCTACTTCAATATATTGTATTGAACGTTTACCCATTTTAAGCGTACAGATAAAATATTAAAGGGCTCTACTTTTTATTACATCTGTAATTTCTGTGTCGTTTTCTTCATCTGTGATCACGTTGATGGTAGAGAACTAGTTGGGAAAGTTTTGGCGGCAAATGCCCTAGTGCAGTACGGTTTCTCAAACTCTGCCGGTAAATTAAATGTACGTAAGTCAACATTGAACTCGTGTAAAGTGTATGGTGGTGTATATTGTGACAAAGATGGTGTGCAAGTATCCGTATTAACTTCTTGGAGCGGAATCCATCTTGATGTACAGTACGTCTATGCGCGTACACTCCGCGGCGCGAACTGGATGGTAGGGATGTCGAAAACTTAAATGATATTCAATATTTTTGATTCTATATATCGATATTTTCAGCTGATATATTTGGATCCGATATAACAATACATAATATTCATTCATAATATTCATCGAAGATCTTGTCAAAAACGATATATTTCTTTTTCAAATTAGAATCTGGCACAGAGTCCGTAAGTGTCAAATATTTAATACTCGACATACCTTTTTTTGGAGAAAGGTTTTTAGGACTATATCCGACATATCATATTTTCTCTTCGATATTGATATTTTTATAAATATTGATATATCGATATATTTTTTCACTTTCGACATCCCTATTAGATGGAGCAGCGTCTAATATGCATGTATTATCGGATCGTTAAACACGAACAAAGGCGTGGCGGGCAGCCTTGTTTTACGAGTTTTAACAAACGTTATACGCCTTTGTAATCGCCTGTTCGTATGGATGCGGCTGCGGTCACGGCCTGCATCTCTACTCTCCGCGATATTTGTACCGACTGTTTATCCCTCTCTCTATGTTTTGGAATCTCTTCCAATCTCTTTTTTTTTACCCTCTCTCTACTTCCCAATACTCTCCAGATTTTCATAATCGCATATTGAATGGACCGACAAGTTTTTTAAAAAGAATATTTAGATACTTTTAAAGTTATACTTATTTTGGCGCGTCTTTTTCACAAACGAAAAGGAAATAAGTAATAAATTGTTATTTTTCTTTTGTTTTCTTTGCTAAAGAACTATAAACTCTTAGGTGCATAAATAAGTACACATATAATTTTTTTTGTATCGTAATGTTGTCTATATTAAATTAAATGCAATTCATTAGCTATAACATCGTTTTACCTATTTCATCGCATGAAACTTCACTAGTTAATATCGAGTTAATTCTATTGAATCGGTCGAAAACGTTTCATTCAATAAATGGTACGACTTTGTTATTGCTCGGCGTGCTCTTATCGCGACTCTGAAACGTGACCTTAACACAATGTTGTGCAAACGGAACCGAGAGATTCTTCAATTGTACATGAAATATACCGAACACTTACATAGTATTGCAATAGAAAACATAACGTGCTTGTTACGAGCAAATTGAAGACACATCGATGTCCCGCTCTAGACAACACTGACCGTTCAAGAATAATTTACTCGGAACACGGAATTTTATTAAATAAGCACACGTAGAGATTACAATCCAAGCTCCGAGGTTCAACGTACCGACTTTATGTCTTAATAGATGGCAACACCACGATACGTGAACGACAGGACTCATATCTATGGAGTTTATGTTCGTACGTGGGTGTGAGTTGAAATGGTCTTAACAATGCTAGTAAAATGTGACGTTTACTGTCTGCCATTGACAAGGTTGTAATGAATGTTACGAAACAATTTGTTGCGATAAAAAACTGCTCCAAACATTTGACTTAAACAAAGATTGTAAATATGCTGATTTCACGATCATTACACGTACGTTAATCGCGCAAAGCTCGTGTTGCTAAATAATATATCATTAACAGTGTTTACTGTTTTTAATTTTATTTATAGATGTCGACCGCTATCTGATAATGTAATTTGTTCGAAACTAAATATTAAAAACAATTATGTATGCTACATCCGCAAGACAGTTTTATGTAAAGATATCCACTATCAATCGATTTCCTGAGATAATAACAATATACGACAAGGCTTACATTATCTTAGGTCCTTGGCGGCTAATCTTGTTTTCAAGGATATTTATTATCGAAGCAATTTTTTCAATTATGAACTAAGGGAATAATAAATAACCTTAACGTTTGATTAATCAATAAAGTCAATATAAAGTAAGCTAAGCCCGGGTTTTTTTCCATAAAATCTAAATTGCCGCGTGTCATATTACGAACATGGCATCTGTTCGACGATAGTGCGTTTAAATTTCGAAGCACTGATCAGCACAGATAACGTATAGTTTTTTATGTTCATTGCTAGAGCGGCGGTCTTTTAAGAGTAGTAATCCTTACACGCCGCGCTTAAGCCAGAGGTGAATGTGCCTCGGAGTAAAATTGCATTATCGTCGCTAACTTGTACAATTTGAAGGAGCAATAGAGGCTGACCTCAAGGTCGACCCTTTGTTGTACAGCGCATGCTGCTTGAAAACGGCGCGCGCGGCGCAACGAACCTCCTTACTTTATTATTCGCTTCATATATTTTTAACAGTGTCAACGCTTCGCAATTCCTCTTAAGGCTTCTCGTGCGACTTTTAAAAAAGGCATTCTTTATGATAATACGCCTTTGGACAAGTTTACGACTTAATTCTGACGATAATTTTGGCCTGCCCACTGCGTGCTATAGC